AAGAAAACAAGTTAAAAAAGAAACGTCCTACGTTGGGGTGTGTGCTTCCTTCAAAGATTATCCTATCTCCTGAATCACTATACAGCTTTTGTAGATCGGCCTATACGACGTTATATTCCTACCTTTTTTATTATTTTTTCTAAAGAACTTCGTGTTTATCGTTTCTCGGGCTCCTTCTTTTCTTCACTCGGCTGATCTTTCAATGTGAAAGAGATCTCCAAACTGGATTACCTACCTGCAAGCAAACGAATTCCGTTTTTCTTACTTAGGATTAGATATATTTTTTCGCATAAACGATAGACGACTTCAGAGGAACGATTGTTATATATATATTTTTTTTCGTGACACATCCGTTCTAAAAATAATCATGTTTTAAAATATCTATTTAATTTTATTTAATTTTTATATATATTTTTTTTATTTTTTTTGGCTATATATTTTTCTACATATTCAATCGATCGGGATGCGGAAAGCTATGAAATTTTATATCGAGACATCAGAGAATGAAATTTCGTACGTGCCGGTAGTAGATTGAATTGAAAATAAATAGAAACGAGACAAGCGGCAAATAGTTTAAAATTGACTCGATGTTTATGATCGAATCGATTTTCTAGTCGCAGCTGCACTGTTTCGAGTTTTCGGTCGCGTACAGGGGAACGGGTGAAAGAGAGAGAGAATGAGAGAAAGAAAGAGAGAAAAAGAGAGAGAAAAAGAGAGAGAGAGAAAGAGTGAGAGAGAAAAAGTGATAGATCGATATAGAACATAGTCACTGGTATAAATCATCGAGAGCGATCCCGAAGTAACTGCAATAAACGCTTAATTACGTGCAATAAGTAATCAAAGCGATTAAGCTTTATAATGCCGCGCGTGCAATTAGTAACGCGCTCGTAATCTAAATTTAGTTTCACTGAGCGTCGAATGGTCACGCTTTCGTCCATGAAATTCACGGCAACCAACCAGACCTATACGAGGGAAGGAAGGGAGGTTTTCGCATAGCTTTCATCGATTGCTCTTATTGCATTTTAATTGCAATAGCTTCCATGATTTTCCATTTGATTGCATCGTCAACAAAAAGACAAAAATGAAAAAAAAAAAAAAACAGGAAAAAAGTATATCCTTAAACGAATCAACTCGTATCTTTCGATATAAAAGGATGAAGGAATCAATAAAAATGATTCTCCTTAAGAACAATTTTAGTAGCACTACAGGAGGTACTGTTTTCCGTGAAGCAACGTTTTTTATTGTTGATTTCAAACGATTCCGAATCAGTCAATACGTGCGCGCATCCTCAATGAAAGTCGTGCGCCCGTTGAATAATGCCGAGAATTCGCGGAAGGGGGGGAAAAAAAGAAAGAATAAGAAATCAGACCCGGGAGAAACCGAAAGAGTAACTGAGAGGAGAATAATGAAAAGAAAAAAAAAAAATAAGGAAGAAAAGAAAAGCAAGAGACGGTTGCCAAAGCAGCCGGCGTCTCAATGAACTCCCCTGAGGAGTGGGTGCCTCGTTAAAATGGATCTTGCGACACCGTAGCGAGACCGCCATCTTTGTCCTTCGTACTAATAGAAGAAGCGCCAGCTGTTTAAGAAAGCGAAAAACGAACACAACTATTCTCCGAGCTTGAACTTACTAATCCTAGCCACCGACACGCGTTATCCTATTTCTGTTTTCCCTTCTTCTTCGTCTTTTTCCATTGCCAAGTTTATATTTACCAGCATAATAAATTTTAAGTTACATTTCCGAGACACGGAAAATTCCTGCAGATTTTCTCTTACTCCTTTATCGAAACTTCCAGTAAAGAATCGGACCAGATTAGAAACGTGAGACGTAAGTGCTGTTTTCTCTGAACTCCATTCGTCTTTGGCTTTTCTTTCGCTTTCTTTCTCTCTCATTCTTTTATTCTTTCTCTCTCTTCTTCTTTATCTCGCAAGAAAAAGACAGAAAGAAGATGTTACAACGACGATGAGAAAGGAGGCCCCTTACTATGGAGGTTCATCTTCTCAAGTAGAGTCGTTACTTTCTTTTCCTTCGCTTCCACATTACGTTTCGGTCCACCCTTGTAAACATCCCTTCGCTCAAACACGTTATCTCGACGAATGAAGGATATTACCTTCGTACGACGAACTCTCTATTCCCCGGACTGACTGCTTTTGCTCGCTCAACCTTGGGCTTTGGGTTCACTTAATTCCTCTTTGCTCAAAGTGCGCATCGCCGATTGCTCGACCCTTTCCATCACTCTCTTTCTCTCTCTTTTCTGCCTTTTTTATTTTTTTTTTTTTCGTTAGACCGTTGCTTTTCATTGTGCCCTCGAGGAAAAAATCTCAAATATCTGTCCTAGCCCTCTTCCTCCCTTTTTTTTTTGCTTTCGTTTGACAACCGTACGCACGCACTGACGTGCATTTCAACCGTATTGAAATACTGTTTTCTTTGGAACGTAATATTTAAATTCCAATAATCTTCTAAGTAAAACTTTATTAATTCCTTATCTCAATTTTAAAAATATTAATTTTAGAAGTATCAGAATATAATAATGAATCTTACAATTTTTAGCATAATACCTAAGCCAATAATAAATTTAACGTAGAATTATCATAATGTTAAGCTTTAACGTCGTTAAAAGATTTCGATCTCCTATAGGATAGAGAATATTACAAACGCATATACATACATATATATGTTTGACGACTAATGCACCTTCTCGTTTACTAGGACGAAATCCCGGATGCGTCGAGACTGGGCGGAATCGCGGTTTATGTGCGTTCTCGTGTACACGCACTTATACACCAATTCCCTGAACAATGCGCGAATCCAGGAGGCCCGTACGAGCCGGCCCGTAAGGCACGTTATATGCGCTGCTGAATGACGAGCATTCGAGCGAATGGGACCAATCAGGCTGATTGGCCGAGCGGTATTTACATTTCTGCGGGCGAGGGCCGCTTGAGGCTGCCACCAGGAGATTCGGAGAGAATGTTGAAACCTAGCATAGACGTAACGACGCATCGTTGTGTACAACACGGTGTGCGGAGCCGTACAAATCCCAGAGCGATGAGAAGGCTTCCGAAGTAGATGAGATGCAGAAAAGCACTTTCGTCGAATATTACTGATGCGTATGCATTTCCCGATATTGCTCAACAAAAGTGTTCGTTGTTGTCCTCGTTTTACATTCGTAGTTCTCCTACTGCTTCTTCATCTTCTTTTTCATCTTTTGTTTGGTTTTTTTCTCCCCCTCTCTTTTTCTTTTTTCTTTTTTTCTTTTTTTTCCTCGTTCTCAACATCCGCTCTCTTGTTTTTAATTCTTATCGCATATGCCGGATAAATCCGAATGCTCTCGTCGATGTCACTCGAGTCGCATTCGACAACCCCCAAGTTTACCGAGTACCAGAAAGCGGCTAATTAATAACCCCGGGTAACAAGGAACAGATGGAACGGTAGAAAGTCGGCTAGCGACAGACGCTCGTCGCTATGCTACGCTTGATCGGTGGACCGATGTACAACCATAGGTATATATACATATATATAAATATATATAAATATATATGTATATATATATGTATGTATGTATTTCTGTTTGCACGTGTACCAGTTCCTACTTCAAGCTCGTTCCTATTATTGCGCACGTGTGGTCCGGATGGTCGCGTGCATGCTATTAGCGAAAAGGAGTGTCTAGAGGGTAACCGGTCCATCTACTGAAACGTCTGTTATAACTGACATCTCGTCGTGGTTAAACAGAAGAATCTTCCTGAGTCAATGATGTTTCATTTCCGGTTGACTAGTCATTTATTATTTGATTTGCTTTGGATTTTATACTTAATTTTGTAAATTTGTTCCTTTTTTCGTTCACTTATTGTTAATTCAATGCAACGTGTTTTAATCATATTTTAATGTAAATCATTTTTTTTTGTTCATAAACGAAAATCATAGAATTAAAATAATCGTGACTGAAGATATTGTAAAGTAATACCAAATCGTTTTAGATGTGGTCGGTTAGAGATCATCGTCTTTTCAACAACGAAATCAAGAAAAAAAATCAAACTATCCCACCTATTGTATTCACGTTCCAATTTTGTGTCACGATTAACGTTCATCCGTGATGTCTTCACCACAAAGCCTCGGGCATTGTGTTGAAAATGATTCTTTTACCTTTTCTTCTTCTTCTCTTYTTCTTTTTCTTATTCTTATACTCCTTATTCCTTTTGCCTTCAGAGCGGACGGTTTATTACGTGTCAGAAGAGATCACGCGGCTTTCTTATTCTTGATACGGTTTCGTGCCTCCGTCGAATTTCATTTATCCGATCAACGATTTTGATAGAAATATATTTTGAGAGTTGCCTTTAGGTATATTATATATCCTTCATATTAAACTTAGAAACGAACTTGTTATTTTATTCGACTCAATCTAGGGGTTTCAACTATTAAAAAAAAAAAAATAAAATAAAATAAAAACTAGAATACAAGAGAATAAATTGTACCCAATCAAGTGAAGACATGTTTTTTTTTTTTGTTAGGTCAAAAATCGTGAATAACATTTGACAGAAAAGAAATTGAAGCAATTGAAATAAGAATAAATGTATATAAAATCAAAAAGAACTCTGCTGATGTATTCGAAACGATCTTACTTGGCATTTTTTCATGATCCTTATCAAGTGGAAATCCTATTTTATTGCAAGTAGCATTCTTATTAGGAGACTCTCCTCCTCAGGTTTTCCTTACTCTGCTTCTATTTCCTCATCTTCCCGTCTGGCCTTGTCTTCCTCGTTCCCATTTTGCCTCATATATAAGAGGATTTAGAAAAGTGCTACCACCGTTAGAATAACAGATCATATTCATTAATGCAAAATCCTCTTCTTGTGATATGCTTGACTCTAGTATCCCACTCCTACACTCTTTATCAACCATCTAACTTTACATGCTGACATGAAAAAAACTTTGGAACAAAATCGATAGAGGAAAAGATATACCCCGTGAAAGTTCGTTGGCAGGAGAAAAATCGTATCGAGGAATCAAATTTCAAATTCGATGGTGAGTACGAGATAAAGAGATAGAGTGAAAGAGAAAGAAAGAAAGAAAAAGGAAGAGGAGGAGGGAGCGGGGGGGGGTGGTAGGGAGGAAAAGACCAAAAGATTTTACACATTTATAACACAGTGACTCGAGCTAGCACGCGTTAATAATCCGTTTATAGTATTGATCGTAAAAGGGAGTAGCTATAATAATCTGTGTGACAGGAGTCTCTCATAGAG